AAAAAAAAAAAAAAAAAAAAAAAAAAAAACTCTTCTTTACAAAAGAAGAAACGTACAGTTTTGATTTCACAAATTAGTTCATGGGTTGAATAAGTGATGTTCCCTTGTATATATTTCGTAATTAATATTTTGTCCTCCCGAAATTAAAATTTAAATGTACGAGAGCAAAAGCAATGAAAACAGAACTAATCAATGAAGCAAGAAAAAATTAGTTGGGCTTCTAATAGGTGTTCGAGCTCAATTATTAACGGTTTTGACTTGAAGCACCCAAAGCATTTACGGCAACTAGGGTTTTGCTCTTGCATGGCCAATTTCCTCATGATTTGGTTTTTGGTTTTTTTTTTTTTTTTTTTTTTTTTTTTTTTTTTCGTTTATAAAACATCCTTCTTTGATCGCAAGCCTTACTTTATAATAAATAAACTATAAAAAATATAAACTAGTAAAAACTATCAAAAATACAAATGATTTCCTTGAAATATAAAATATATATGTTCCCCTTAACTGTACTTATTTAATTTTTTGTGTTTTTTTTTAGAATTTAAGTTGATTTATTGTGAGAGAAAAAGAATGGCATATGTAGGGCATAATAACTTACTGGGGCGCTATTCTAGATTTTTTTTTAAAAAGAATTACTTCACAAAATTCATGGTCGAAATGCTAACAACGTTATTACTTGAAGTTGTTTTTTTTTTTTTTTTGGCTAATACGTTATTACTTGAAGTTAAAAGGTTAAATTACACCATATATATTTCTCCTAATTAAAGATTACTACTTTTTTTTTTGCGCAAAAAATTAAAGATTACTATCACAAACTTATTTATCGAATTTCAATTAATTTAGATGCATCTGGAAGTGCGGCTGAAATATTTTTATTTAGAAAACAGTGAAAAACCTAAAGCTCTAATAAAACCCTAATCGTTACCTGTGCCCTAATATATTCCAAAACCTACCACCTTTCTCTCTCTCCTTCTCTCTCTCTCATGTGACTCTCTACAATATTTCTTTTGCCCTGCTCCCGAAACAAACCCACCATCTCTTCCTCGGTAACCAAATCACCTTGCCTTATTTTAACTTCACCCTTTCCCACAGTAATTACACAGTGAAAAAAATAAAATAAAACGAAGAAAATTTAATAAACAACTTATAAAAATCTACTAAATTAAATGGTAGTACCAAATTTCTTCCCTCACTACCATAAGTTCCAATATAGAGCTTTCTCTATCTTCACGCCACACCTTTAAACCCTAATCTAAACTGACCTCTTTTAAAACACTAATAATCTATTTGATAAAATTAAATGAAAAAAAAAAAAAAAAACATTGAAATTGGTTTGCTTATTCCAACCCATTACCCTTTTACCTTTCACAATCTCCTAAGCTGCCTCACTCCCTAATATTATCAAGTCTTTCCCTTCCCTAGGCAAAGCCTCTCTCTCTCTCTCTCTCTACAAATGAAATTACCATGGCAACATATTGTTAAGGTTGACGTGATGAAAATTTCATGTGGGTGTTGTTAGCTTGTTTTGGTAAATATGGTAAGTTTCCTCATGGGATTGTGGACCTTATACACACACATATACATGTACATATATATATATATATATAGTATAATATATATATATATATAAGGTATGTATGGGCTAATGATGTAGTTGTGCAAGTGTTAGCCATACTGAATGATATTATCCACTTCAGAGTAATCCTTGCCGTTAGATTAATGCATTCATGGTATATATGTAATGCAGTGCTTTATCATCAATAATTACTTTCACTTGGCTAATAATGTACTATAAAAAAAGAAGATAATATTAGTCCATTTAAAAGTGTAGGAGCTCTTCAAATCTACCAATATTTAACCACCTGATAAATTTATCTGTCCAATCACATAATTCAAGTGATCATATAGTAATTAAATTTCATACTATCCTACAATATTGTATGATAAAATGTGATTAAACCTAATGTTAATTGTGCTAGATAAATCTGGTGATACATCATCATGTGTGCATTGATATCAATAAAAGCGAAAATGTTATATTTTGGGTGTTTTTAAATAGGCACATATATATTACATATATTGATGTCATTTCTCAAGCTAGTTGTGATCATAGTGGTTGTGCAAAGAATGCAAGATGAAATTATATAATATTTGATTGATCAGTCTAACATTGTATTAAGCAGCACCAACACACTGACAGATATTTAATGTTTTCTCTCAATATTACATTATTGACAATAAGCAACAGAAAAATAAAATTCAACAAGCTGAATTGCCATTCCCTAACTTGAGTGTAGTTTTTGAGTTATAACTTGAGTTGAAGTTGTAATTTAAATAAAATTGAGTAAAACTGAATAAAATTAAAACTTAAAAAAATATGAACTTAAATAAAATCAGAACTTAAATTTTTTTTTTTTTAATTTTTTGAACAAAAGAACAGCAGTATATTACATATGTAGGTTCAATAGTATTACTCTATTAATACATACATACGTGTATATATATATATATGTATGTGTGCCCATCGTGGTACCAAGGCCTGTTATTTAGAGTGTAACTTGAGTGTAGTTTTTGAGTTATAACTTGAGTTGAAGTTGTAACTTAAATAAAATTGAATAAAACTGAATAAAATTAAAACTTAAAAAAATATGAACTTAAATAAAATTAGAACTTAATTTTTTTTTTTTAAATTTTTTAAACAAAAGACATATAGGTTCAATAGTATTACTCTATTAATACATACATACGTGAACACTAGAAAGTAAAAGGAAAAACAAAAACAAAAAATCAAATCAAATCAAATTGTCGACTTTACCCCCACGAAGTTCTAACTTTGTCTTGTGGGAAAAAAACAAAAAGAAAGAGCTACTTTTGTTGTTGCCTATTCACTGTCTATTAAGGTAATTTAGTCCATTAATTAAAAAAAAAAAAAAAAAAGAACCAAACGCCCAAAAATCACTGCAGTAGAATTAGATATGGCGTGTCAAGTCTTGGATTATGATAATAATAATAATAATAATAGATACTAATATTTAAATATGTATGCAAATGGGATTCTTTTTCAAAGCTCATAATCTTGGTAACATCACAATATTAAGAATAAACACTGCATTTTGCTTCCTTCTGCTTTCGACCCTCAAAACAACCTTTGCATTTCCCATTCAATCATCCACAAAACTCCATATCTCTCTCCCACCATTTCACAACGCAGAAAAAAGACTCTTTCTTTTTGTGTCTGAACTTTGTCATCACCAGATAGCAGAAGAGAAAGACATTTTCCGGCAACACAAAAAAGATGTATAAACATTTATAAATTAGTGGTTTGAGTTAGATTTGTTCAAGACCTGTTTATGCATTTTCCTCTGAAAGAAACCAACTGTGGAAAAGAAAGAAGAAAAGCTCTTTTTATGTTTTTGTGTTTTTGGCTGGCTCACATGCATGGTTTATGCACATTGGTGTGAAGTTTAAGCATCCCCCATTACTATAGAAGCCTCCCTTCACATGCATTTGGTCTCCCTAGAGTGGACTTTTTCTTCACCACCATCACTATCAATCTCTCACCAAGACAAAATCCATAATCTTCATCATTATCATCATTTTCTTCTTATTGAACTTCAACGCCATTTCTTAATCTTCACCACCAAACCATTTTTCCATTATTAGCTCAAAGTTTGAAGCAAAAAAAGATGACCCAATTTCTCATTTCTACTTCTCATGTTTCTTCTTCTCATTTTTCCTTCTTTATTTTCTTGGTGGTTTACCTTACCATGACCAGGACTTTAATGGTCAACTCTCTGTCCTCTGATGGTCAAGCCCTCCTCTCTCTACTATCTGCTGCTGACCCTTCTGCTAAAGAGTCCTCTTCTGTTCTCTCCTCATGGAACCCAACAAGCCTAACTCCTTGTTCATGGCAAGGAATCACATGTTCTCCTCAGAACAGAGTTATTTCTCTCTTTTTGCCAAATGTTTTCCTCAACCTTTCTTCTTTACCTCCACAGCTCTCTTCTCTCTCCTCTCTTCAGCTTCTCAATCTCTCTTCAACCAACATTTCTGGTACTATTCCACCCTCCTTTGGCCAATTCACTCATCTTCGCCTCCTTGACCTCTCATCCAACTCTCTTTCTGGCTCCATTCCTCAGGAGCTTGGCAAACTCTCTTCTCTCCAATTCCTTTTCTTGAACTCCAACAGATTGTCTGGGAAAATACCCCAACAGTTGTCTAATCTTACTTCTCTACAAGTTCTTTGTCTCCAAGACAATCTGATAAATGGTTCAATACCATCTCATTTGGGCTCTTTGGTGTCTCTCCAACAGTTGAGAGTTGGTGGGAATCCATATCTAACAGGTGAGATTCCACCACAGTTGGGATTACTTACCAATCTCACAACTTTTGGTGCTGCTGCAACTGGGCTTTCTGGTGTGGTCCCACCAACTTTTGGGAACTTGATCAATCTCCAGACTTTGGCTCTTTATGATACTGAGATATTTGGTTCTGTGCCACCTGAACTTGGGCTTTGTTCAGAGCTGAGGAATCTGTACTTGCACATGAACAAGCTCACTGGCTCTATCCCTCCTCAACTGGGAAAGCTTCAGAAACTCACTAGCTTGCTTCTTTGGGGGAATGCGCTAACCGGGTCGATCCCGGCTGAGCTTTCCAACTGTTCTTCACTTGTTGTTCTCGATGTCTCTGCGAATGATCTCTCCGGAGAGATTCCGGGCGACTTGGGGAAGTTGGTTGTTCTTGAACAGCTTCATCTGTCGGATAATTCACTCACTGGGAGAATTCCGTGGCAGCTGAGCAACTGCACTAGCCTCAGTACTCTTCAGCTTGATAAGAACCAACTATCAGGTACAATTCCATGGCAGGTTGGTGAGTTGAAATTGTTGCAAAGTTTCTTCTTATGGGGTAATTCAGTGTCGGGAACTATACCGTCGTCATTTGGGAACTGTACCGAACTCTATGCGCTTGATCTTTCAAGGAACAAGCTTACCGGGCCAATCCCAGAAGAGATTTTCAGTTTGAAGAAGCTGAGCAAGCTTCTGCTTCTGGGAAATTCTTTGACAGGAGGGTTGCCGAAAAGCGTTGCGAATTGTCAATCTTTAGTCAGGTTAAGGCTTGGAGAAAACCAGCTTGCAGGTCAAATTCCCAAGGTGATAGGTCAATTGCAGAATCTTGTTTTTCTTGACTTGTACATGAATCATTTCTCTGGGGGACTTCCTTCTGAGATTGCAAACATCACTGTTCTAGAATTGCTAGATGTGCACAATAACTACATAAGTGGAGAAATTCCATCGGAACTTGGTGAGCTTGTGAATCTGGAGCAGCTTGATCTCAGCAGAAACAGCTTCACCGGCAGCATTCCTTCGAGCTTTGGGAACTTCAGCTATTTGAACAAGCTCATTCTGAACAACAATTTACTCACAGGTTCAATACCGAAATCTATCCGCTACTTGCAGAAACTTACTCTACTTGATTTGAGCTACAACAGCCTCTCTGGTCCAATCCCACCTGAAATTGGCTATGTCACAAGCTTGACAATCAGTTTGGACTTGAGTTCTAACTCGTTTACTGGAGAAATCCCTGAGACAATGGCCAGTTTGACGCAGCTGCAATCCATTGATCTTTCCCATAACATGTTTTATGGAAAGATTAAGGTTCTTGGTTCCTTAACCAGTCTTACTTCTCTTAATATTTCCTGCAACAGTTTCTCAGGTCCTATCCCAGTGACACCGTTCTTCAGAACTATATCTGCGAATTCCTATCTTCAGAATCCTCGCCTGTGTGAATCTACTGATGGCACTACTTGTTCTTCAAGTCTAATGCGAAGGAACGGATTGAAGTCTGCCAAAACAGTGGCCATTATTTCAGTAATTTTGGCTGCAGTAACCATGGCGGTTTTGGCTTCATGGATGCTGGTTACCAGAAACCAGAGGTACATGGCAGAGAAATCGTCAGGTCCATGTGCATCCGCTTCAGGAGCCGAAGATTTCTCTTATCCATGGAATTTTATTCCATTTCAAAAGCTCAGTTTTACCGTTAATAACATCCTGGATTGCCTGAAGGATGAAAACATAATCGGAAAAGGTTGTTCCGGAGTAGTCTACAGGGCAGAAATGCCTAGTGGTGAACTTATTGCAGTTAAAAAGCTCTGGAAAACAAAGCAAGACGGCGATCCAATAGATTCATTTGCTGCAGAAATCCAAATTCTTGGACACATTCGACATCGAAACATTGTGAAGCTCATTGGCTATTGTTCAAATAGAAGTGTCAAGCTCCTCCTCTACAACTACATCTCAAATGGTAACCTCCAACAGCTGCTGCAAGAGAATAGGAACTTGGATTGGGAAACTCGATACAAGATTGCAGTCGGGTCTGCTCAGGGCCTGGCTTATCTTCACCATGATTGTGTCCCAACAATTCTTCACAGGGATGTCAAATGCAATAACATACTTTTGGATTCCAAGTTTGATGCCTATTTGGCAGATTTTGGCCTGGCAAAACTGATGAACTCTCCAACTTACCACCATGCAATATCTAGAGTAGCTGGCTCTTATGGCTATATTGCCCCAGGTAACTTTTTCTTTAATCTTCATTTTAGTTTCTTAATTAATTAATCGATTCATATTCTTACAAATTATTCTATAACTATTGCAGAATATGGCTACACGATGAACATAACAGAGAAAAGTGATGTCTACAGCTATGGGGTGGTCTTGTTGGAGATTTTAAGCGGGCGAAGCGCAGTTGAGCCGCAAGTAGGAGATGGATTACACATTGTTGAATGGGTGAAGAAGAAGATGGGAAGCTTTGAACCAGCTGTTTCAATACTAGACACAAAGCTTCAAGGTCTGCCAGATCAAATGGTGCAAGAGATGCTTCAGACACTCGGAATTGCTATGTTTTGTGTGAACTCTTCTCCGGCAGAGAGGCCAACTATGAAGGAAGTGGTGGCATTGTTAATGGAGGTTAAAAGCCCACCTGAAGAATGGGGAAAAACTTCCCAACCACTAATAAAGCAGTCCTCAAATCAAAGTTGAATTTTTTTTTTCACTCTTATTTTTTTGGTATTTAACTTCTAGTTATTTTCTTTTCCTTCCTAAAGACATCAGTGATTGATTTTCTATATCCCAAGATAAAAAAAGAAAAGTAGTAATGTTATTGTGGGAAATGGGATAGTTAAGTCCTATTTGTTGAGTTTTGCTGATGTTCTTTGGTGATTGTACAGTTTTGATGCATCAATGCAGTTGATTTTCTTCATGTTACCTTTTTCCCCTATTCCCCTTCATGGTTATGGTTAATCAAAAGTTATCCATTTTGCAAAAAAGGGATTTCCTTTTGCCCATTCCATGTTTTATTTTCCTTTTCCAGATTAATGAGATGTTCCAACCAAAAAGAAACACTAGTTACACAATACAAGCAAAGCAGAAGAAAATAACTATTTGTTACAAAATAGTTCCAACCAAAAAGAAACACTAGTTACACAATACAAGCAAAGCAGAAGACAAGAACTATTTGTTACAAAATGCTTAAGCTTGCTTTAAAATACTAGAAATGTCATAATAATCCACTTAATATAAGCCTCCTTTTATTCATGCTGTTTCTCCAAAACAATCATGTTTTTGAAAGATAAAGCAACTATTTTGCGTTCCCACTAATCAATGGCCTTCACTATTAACCTTTTTTTTTTTTTTTGAGGATTTCGATATTACAAATTGAAGGCTTTCCAAACCTTTCAACCATTTCCTGTTACTTTCACTAATTACTATTTGATAGTCTTGAAATATTATTTGTCTCAATGCACCCAAATTAGCCACAACTTTCTTTTGAGAGAGAGAGAGAGAAAGAGAGAAATATTCATGCAGATCATAATGGAATTAGTATTCCCTAATTTAAGGGAGTCAATGGTCTAATCTGCTTCTAGAACAACAGACAAAAACAATGCAAATAGTATCTAAAACTTGGTGGCTAGAAGGGAAAGAAGAAGAGAAAGCAAAATTCTTCTTCATATTATTTAAAAACAGGTCCCTACATTGCAGGCTAAAAGCAGACACACAGAAAACAAGCCATGCTTCCTCTCCTCCCCCACATGCCTTCCCTGACAACCATATTTGTTTCCCATATCTTTCACATCCTTTGGTATTTTGGTTCATATCCCTTTTCTGATTTTTCAGTGAAAATTGGTCAAAAAGAAGATCCCCCAAGATTCATTCAGAAATCTAGCATTTTAAAATTATTGAGCTTGCAGAAGATATTAGACAAAGCAATATTAAAAAGACGGTATTACAAACTTACATCACAAATAGACATTGGGGAATCAATGATTGACCCAATAAGCTTCTCTTTTTGTTTCTTTGGTGTGTCTAGATGTTATGGAGAACCATGGCTGGATAAAAGAACAAAAAAGGTAAAGAAGTTGGACCACAATTGATGTCATGTTTTTCTGTTTCCAAAATGAGGATGTTTCTCATGAGAGATAGAGAGGAGGAGAAGAGCTGGATAGACAGTCCCACTTTCACCAAGAAAGCCTTGTCCTGTCGTGGATAAGTATTTTTTTTTTTTAATTTTTCGTTACACTTATTTGTTTTTCCCTTTTTTTTTGTTTCCATTTTCTTCTTTTTTCAGATGAAGCCAAAAATGATAATGACTTCCATGTTCAGTTCTGCTTAGTTTTAGTTGTTTTATAAGATTTTTGGTGGCCCTGGAGTTTCAGCACTTGTGAATTCTCAAGGTAGGTGCATGTATGCTTTAACGAGAAGGATAGGATTTTTTTTTTTTTTGTAAATAAAATAAAATAAGGTTTTTTATGGCTCAATAAGAAAATATGGTTATAGCGATGAGGGTGACGTATCCAAAATAATCCTGAAAGAACAATGCATTTCTGCGCGGCGGCGTATGGATCCCTCACAAATAGGTCATTGTCCATACTTTTTTGTCCATCACTATTAAACTGGCTAACTTGAACTCAAAATCTTATTAAGAGAAGCAGCAACCTTAATACCCCACCAAATGAGTAACCTTCGATAATTCGTATATATTTATTTATAGTTTTCCTAAACCCTACTCTTGCGGTGGAGAAACTAATCAGTCACTTAAAATTCGAAGTAGATTTTCTTTTTGCCTTTGTTTTCGCTCTTGCAGGTCCAAAATGGCTGAGACATCTCAATTTCAAATGTTGTCCTCATGGACTCGAGTTTGTTTAAGTTAATCATCTTCTTTTTACTTTTATATATTTTTATCACGCTTCCCTTCATCGGTCATGATTACTCGGCATAAGCGAGCATGATATGGTCAAATAGCCATGGGAATATTCTGTTTTGATCTTCATGACTCCTCAATTAAACATTCTTCGGCATCTCTTGAGATATGCACTCGGGAAGGAAGACAAGCTCTAACTCGTGGAATGATTTCTACCACAGAGAGAGAGAGAGAGAGATTTCCTAGGGGACCTACTCAAAAGTCTCTGTTTTTCAGCTGATGTGCATTAGACTCGATCTATTTTGAATAATTATTTATTTTGATGTGATTTTAATCAGATTCAACGATGAAAAATATGTAGCGTCTATGATTTTGATCAGATTCAACGATGAAAAATATGTAGCGTC